AGCCACCCAGGCGCCCTGGCTTTTTCTTTTAAGATTTTATTTATTTATTTGACAGAGAGACGCAGCAAGAGAGGAAATACAAGCAGGAGGAGTGGGAGAGGGAGAAGCAGGCTTCCTGCTGAGCAGGGAGTCCGATGCGGGGCTCGATCCCAGGACCCCCATGACCTGAGCCGAAGGCAGACGCTCAACGACTGAGCCACCCAGGCTCCCAGAAAGACAATTTTATGAAACACAGGTGAAAATCTCCCTTCGTTCTCTATCTCATTCCCCAAAAGTGACCCCCAATTAAAAATGTGGTAGATTTTTTCTCTATGCACATGGAAGTATATATATACTATATAATACGTATAAATTGCGTATTATATATTATACACATGTTATGTTATACAAGTATGTATATGTATGCATAAGTATATGTGTGTATACATATACATATAACACAACATATATACATATGTGTGTGTATAGAACATATGTGTGTTATACATATACATATAACACAACATATATACATGTATATTATATATGTATGTGTATATATTACATGTTACACATATATGTATGACATATGTCATATATTATGTGTACATATATATGTATATGTATAAATATGTATAAATGACATATACATAATATATGCATAATATGTATAATATGCACAATATGTATATGCATGTATGTATAAGATATATGTATAAAATCATTTAAAATATACATTATATATTATATACACATATATGTATAAATAACATATGCATATAACATGTATACATTATATATGTATAATATACACTATATATGTGTATATATATAAAATCTGGAGGGCAGGCAGCTTGCCGTTCTGCACATGCCTTTTACCAGTATGCATATATCTTGGGGATGGTTCTAAGCAGAATGAACAGCAGACCCACCCTTTGTACAGGCTGCACAGTGATCCATCCACTGTATCTTTTTAGTCATTCCTCATTGATGAACATTCAGGGTGTTTCCCCTTATGTGTGACTACAAATAGTGTTGCAACCAACATCTTTGGACATATTCATTTCCCGCACGTGGATCTTGGAAAGCAATAAATTTCCAGAAGTGGAGTTTTTGATGGGTCAAAGGGTGTGTGCATTTTAAATTCTAGCTGCTGCTACTTTTTAGAAAATGTGTTCCATGCTCAAAGACAAGTAAGCTAGGAAATAAGAAAATGGGAGTGGGGCAGGGCTAGTGAAGGGAAGGACTGGTTGGTTCTATCTTCTTCCCCAGAGACTCTTGCATATTGTAAACTGCAACATGATGTCGGTGGTCCAGGTGAAACCGGGCTGGGAAGGATGGTGTTTAAGGACAGTGGAGCTCTGGACACTCTGCAGGGGACCCAGCCAGCATCCCCCAGCCTCAGCTTGGTGTGGAGGAGATTCCCCAGGGGAGTAGAGAGATGGGAGTGAACTTGAGGAGGAGGGGCAGGTGAAGGAATTGGAGAGAAAAAGATGCTGTGCTCCCGGCTCTTCTTTTCTCATGACTAGAACTGTCCTGCCCCAAGTGGTCATCAGGTAAGACGCAGTCTCTTTCTCTTCCACGCTGGATCCTCCCGCACCCAACCTCTAAGCTTTGTCTATTCCCAGCTGTCCCATCCACGTTTCCAGCTCTGCCCTGTCCCTCTGACTCAACAGTAGGGCGGCGCTAAGGGCTCGTGGAGGTTTAGGAATCAGTTGAATCCTCTTGTCCCCCTTGGCGGTGACCACCTTCCAACGAAGGCCTCCTCCTCCAGGGGCAAAGACATCATTACCAACATGTCTGCAATGATTGACAAGAACCCCTATTATATTGTTAGCAATGTACTCCGACCCCACAGACCCGGCCCAGGGCTGTCCTGCCTGCCTTGCTGCAATCTCCCGCTTATAGCCCTTTGTTCTGGCATTGAAAGTTATGGTGCAAAGTCTTTGTGTGTGTGTGTGTGTGTGTGTGTGTTTAAAATGCCACCTGCGTCTGGGGCTCCTAATAGGTCAGACAGACATCTGGGGCACAGTCCAGTGAATAGGGCAGGGTTGGTTGGTTTGTTTATTTGCTTATAGAGAAACAGGAGGCTAGGGGTCAAGATGTGAGACTGGCCCAACTCGAATGTTGGGTGGGTGTATGGGAACAAGGGTAGGGCTTAGAACACGCAGATATTCAGGTGTTAAGGTGAGGACTTGGGCCCTGAGTCTGGAGGCTTTCTGGAGCCACGCAGTGTTCTAGGATCAAGGACGGCGCTGGGCAGGAGCGGGCTGGCGGAGTCCGCACAGGGAACGCTCTGGTCCTGGGACCCGCCGTCTCCTTCCTCCGCAGGCCTTCACGTGAAGCTTCTCCGTGGCAGTGGGCGCAGAGTGCTCCTCTCGGGGGTCATCCTGCAGGTGCCTAGCCGGAGTGGGCAGCTCAGAAGGGGAGGGGCTCTGGCAGGGGCAGGAGCTTAGGGACTGTGGAAGCTCAGAGGCTGGGGCGGGGGATGTCTCAGAGAGGGCGGTGACTCAGGAGGGCTTCGTGGCGCGGCGCTCAGCAGGGGTGGGTTCCCGCGGGGGCGTGGCCTCTGCGGGACGCGCCCCTTGGGGCGTGGTCGCCTGGGGGCGTGGTCTCGGGAGGAGCTCGGAGACCCGGGACAGAGGCGCGGGTGGGTGGGACTCTGGGATTCTGAGAGGGTCTGGGAGCTTGGGCGGGTGGGGACCGGAGTTCTTCTCTTTACCCCCTTCCTGCAGACAGTGAGCCCCTTTATGGCCGACACAAATATGACCAGACACGTGCAGTACAGGCTGCTAGCGTCTGGTCATATTCCGAAGACTGCTCGGCAGATGTTGGACAAACTTGGCCTTACCTCCCAAACCACACTGTGCAGGGTGCCTTCGTGGGCAGCCACGGGCAGAGAGCTGGACATTCCCTGGCCCAGCTCCGGTAGTCCTCAGAAGCAGGGGAGGTGTCCGGAGGTGGGGAGGGCCCCCACCTTGGGCTGGAGAGAGAGAGGAGAGGAAGAGACAGAGGGACCCAAGAGTGGGGTGTTCCTGATTCCTGGTACCTCTCTTTCCCAGGGTTTCCTGCTGCCCCTCCTCCTGCCCAGTCGGTTTCTCTCAGTCGCTGGGAGTAAAGTTTACAGCTCGGTGGAGGAGCTCATATCACGCAAAGTTCTTTGATAAAAGCCCTTGAAGAGGTGTGGCCACGTGTCCCCCCCTCCCCCATCCAGGGCCAGGGCTGTTGTTAGCAAAGAAGTCCCACACGTGGGAATAGAGGGACAAGCAGGCCAATGGAACAGAACTAGACCGCCGAACACCTGGGCACTCAGCGACAACTGGGACATCTCAGCCTCTGACAGAAAGAGCTTTTAACATATGGTGTTCAGACAACCAGATAGGCATTTGGAGAAAAACAAAGTTATATAGAGATCTAAAATTGTAGTGGTGGTGGTTGCAAAACTTTGTGAATATTTTGAAAAGCGGTGAATTGTACACACTTAAAGCGTGAATCTTATGGTAGGTGAATCATATCAGGATAAAAATAATTTTTCAAATAGAGTCCTCCCCCCACCAAGTGTATTGATGGCTGCAACTTATTTTGAAATGCATTGAAAAGTTAGGTGAATTAACGGATGGATAGAAGGATGCATAGAGTGGATAAAAATATGAGAAGACGAAAATGGTAAAGTGTTAGTAATAGAATCTAAGTGGCAGACACGTGGGTGTTCGCTGTACACTTCTTTTAACTTTCCTGTGTGTTTGAAAATCTTCATAATAAAATGCTGGGGGAAATTCAGGGGCAATAAAATCAAATTTATAAACAAAACTCCTTAAGCAGATTTAGAAACTGGTTAAGAAAATATGATCCCATAAACAAAGTAAAAATGTGACCATCTCAGAGAAAATATTTACAACTCACATCACACACAAAATGTTTATCTCCTTAATATATAAGAAAAAACCAATAGCCCAATGTTTTAAAATGTACAAAAGAATGAACAAACGGTTCACAGAGAAATAGATATGAATGGTCCTTAACTATATGGAAAGATGCTCAACTTCGCCCATAATAAGAACAATGCCAATGGAAACTTCTCTGAAGAAGCTTTCTCCCCTATAAAATTGGCAAAAAGGCATAAACTGGAAAGCACACTCTCATGCATTGCTGGTGGGGCATGCCAAATGATAACCTTCATGGGGAGAAATTTGACAATAGCTAACTAACAAAACAACGTGCGTTTACTCTCCCACTTCGCAATGCTCCTTCCAGGAAGATACCGTGAAGACCCACCTGCGCCTATCGAATGATCCGGGGGTGAGAGTGGAATGGAGCCAAATACCTTCAAAGAACAGAAAGGAGGCCCAGCATCTCTGAAACAGGTGGGGCTATTTTTAACTTTCTATTTTGAAGACTAGTATCCATATACTATTCATCTAGATTCACTGCTCATTAATATTTGCTTAACTTGCTTTTATCTCTCTCCATGCATATGTGATGATGATGAATGGCCCATTTGAAAGTTGAGACATCGTGATCCTTTACCTCGAAATGCTTTAGCGAGTAATTCCTAAGAACAAAGACATTATCCTAAAGACAACGGTGATGGAATTTAGGAAATTTATCATGGACATGTACTGTTTTTTTTTAAGATTTTATTTTTAAGGAATCTCTACACCCAATGTAGGGCTTGAATCTACAACCCTGAGATCAAGAGTCACAGGCTCCACCAACGGAACCAACCAGGCTCCGAGACATGTACTATTTTTAATACACAGTCTATATTCAAAAATGTCCAAGTGTCACAAAAATGTCTTTTTTAGCCCTGTTTTTTCCAAACCAGGATCACACATTGCATTGAGTTGTCCTGTTTCTTTAGCCTCCTTTAATCTGCACTTCTCACCATGTCTTTGTGCTCCGTGACATGAACATCTTTGAAGCAGAACTGTTTTGAAGTTGAAAAACACTGAATTTTGTGGAATCAGGGCTTTATTATTGGAATAAGATCTTACACAATTGCAGATGATGGTGGGGAATGAAGGTCCAGAGAGGGGAGTCGGGGGGAGAAGTGGAAAATCACCAACCAGCCCTCTCGAAGAGCTGGCGCAGGTGCACAAGTCAGAGCTTCCAGGAAAATATCTGGGAAGCTGGCATATCCAGCTGTCAGAGTGGGATCGCGAAGGACAACCGGTGACGAAGTCTCCAGAAGGCTGTTGCCTCTGCATCCGGTGGTGGGCCTGGGGGTCACTGTTGGTCAGCAGGGCAGAAAGTTGAGATGAACAGAGTGTGAGGGAAATAGGTCACAAGGTCCTGTGCTTTTGTCTGTCTGTCTGTCTCACGACAGCAGAGAGCAAGAGTGAGCTGGAACCCAGTGGCACATCCATATTTGTCTCTTGCCACATCTGAATAGAACCACCAGTCAGAAGCAATGACCACGCCTCACTTCTTCCATTGAGTTTTCATATGGTTTTCTCTGTGGCCTGCTCTAACCTTGAACCGTGAGGGGAAAGGGGTTCTGAGGAACATAGGTGCCGCTCAGCCCAGTTGACCCAGTTCAAAATCACCAGAGAACGTGCCCTGTTTCCTCGAGTTCCTAGAAGAGCTTCTGTGATATTGGTTATCGGTTAAGTGTCTGGAAGATTTCACCAGTGAGACCATCCGGGCCCCGAATTTTGCGGGAAAGTTAATTTGGTGTTAAATTTCTTTGGTAGATATAGACTATTCAGATTCCCTATTTTTCCTTGGGTCAGTTGTGGTTAAGCTTTATTTTTCAAAGAATTTATCCACTTCATCTAAATTTTCAAATGCATTGACATGAAGTGGTTCCTAATATCCTCTTATTACATTTTTCATGCTTGTAGGATCTTTAGTGATGTCTTATTTTAGTTCTTGATATTGGTCATCTGTTTTCTCTTTTTTTCCCCCTTTATTGCCCTTAAATAGGGATTTGTTGAGTATATTAACCTTTTATTTATTTATTTTATTTA